GTCAGGAATATATACAGCTCCCTCATGATGTAATACTTACTCTGAAACAGATGAGTTTTTTCCACGAGAAGGCTTAAGACGAAGGCTCACTGCTCATAATGACAAGAACCGCTCACCATGCTATTCTCAGTAGCTATATCAAAGCAGAGAGTACTTCTATCGATAAAGAACCAACTAGGACTGATAACCAGCGGGTACACAGATAGGAATGGAGTAAGTACGGTGACAGCAACGCTGCCCGGAAAGGCAAATCTCCATATCTGAAAGCGAATGCTGCTTCGATGATCTGTGGAAGCCAGATTTTTTCTCTCATTCTATGGAAAAATGAAAAGTAGGAGGGTAAGGCGGTAAGCATCGGGCTGCCACTAGGAGATCTGAGTACCTGCAGAGCGGGTCTGGGTCTCTCATAAGCACTCGGGCTCATTCAGGAGTATACTCACAGGAATCATTACGGCCTACTCACATGTCTGTTAAAACTGTGCCATACTGAGGAGTTTCGGAAGTGAATGACAAGGTAAAACACTCATTCAAAGACTTTCTGGATCACCTATGTAGTTGGAACATGGAAATTAAAAAGCTGACCCACCTTTAAATAGAATACAGGAAAGGAAACGATAGTCATACGGTATAGTGAGACGAAAAACAGCATATACGTCTGGGCGAAAGCGAAATGAAAGGTCAAGCTGTTGAGCTGGAAAGCGATTCTTTTGACCTCTGACTTAGGAATCTACTTTTATAGTAGCAGTTCTTTGGATGAATGAAGAACGTTCTTTGCATGAAGAAATACATATCAGATGGTTCCAGTACTTCTAACATACATAAGATACCATGTGAGTGGGAAAAAGCGTTGCTCAGGCAATCAAGTTAGCCAAGCTTCTATAAAGGCCTCCTAGTTGGATGTAAGAGATTCATTGAAGTGCTAAGGCTTTTTGTTGAGTGCTGCCTAAGGTCTATAAGTTTCTGACAAAATATTAAAACTCCTTTATAAAATGAACTCAAAAATCGTTTTTATTTCGTGAGGTTGGCGGGTAGGCAGAACTTGTGAAAGCTTGCATATTACTCGCTAAAGCATACATGAAGGTCTTTTTACCCCGAAAGTCCCTAGCGATGCTTCTAGTGTCCTTTGACTATGAGCTCTTTACTTTCTCCGTTGAAGTCTCGAAGACGTCTCAAAATAGAGAATGATTTCACACTTACAAATCCAGTGAAATAAAGCGGTTCTCTATTATAAATTCCACTCCACCAGCTGTCTTCATTAGTCACGTTGGCCAATTGAATGACATAGAAAGAGTTCGCGAAGACCAGAACATTCTGAAACTTCAAAAATGACGTCTCAATCAGGAAAGTTCGCCAACTCTACAAAAATACTTAGTGTTTACTAATTGTATAGGCACATTACTTGCATAGGCATGCTACTTAGCTCATATGGTATAGGAAGGCGTTGGATGTAGCGCAGTATCAAGTGGCTTTAACTCTATTCCAAACATATTGTTCGGGGTTAGAATTCCGCATTTTTACTGGCCAGACCGACCAGGATTTCCATCATTCCGGAGTTGGCTGGTTGGTATCAGGCTCATGTGAGAATTCAAAAGCACTGCTTTGTACATCGAATGTCTACAGAATACCACAGTATAGGCCACATATGCATTCATATGCCACAATTCTTAATGGAAGCTCAATGCTTGGCATATCACAAGAGCGAGTTCGATTCTGCGAAGGCTCAGACTTCACGGCATCAAGGCCACTATTTATTTTTCCTTGAAACCCAATCTTGCGCTACCAACCCGTCATGAAATCTCTCGCTTAATTCCGTGACTAGTCAAATGGTGCCTATGACAATCGGATGATTACATTTGTTTTTTTCACAAGGTATCTACTTGAGGTAAACCAGTTGGAAATCTGCTCAGCGGATTCTTGCCTATCAAGAATTTACGGTAACTCGGTGGCCACTAAACTCACCAGTACGGCCTGAAACATAAGCAATGAGTAAAATCGTCCTTTGTCTGTTTTGCGTTCTTTGAAAAGAGCAATAAGTACATAAACATACAGTACACATGACGGTATACAGTAGATAAATCTTACGTAGACTCGGTATTCATACATATAGCCTTTACCTGAAAATTTTAAATGGTCACCCTTATTTTTACTAACTCGTTGTGAACCTAAACAGTAGCTTCAACAAGAGGTGGCAATGAAAATTGCCTTTCAGTACGTCTGCTTATTGGTGTCCCATGTGACAGGGCAAGTTGAAGTCTCTAACTCTAATGCGACTAACTATCTCATCAATTTCAGCGGCAACTGATAATTGGAGTTGTAAAAATTTGTACCCAAAGAAAAGGCACGAAACCTATTTTTGTTCGGGGGTTTCGCTCGAATGGTTCCAGCCGCCATTATTGTCTCGACTCCATCACCAACCGACTTCGAATTCAAGGTTGCCCAAGTAACAGTCAAGCCAGAGCTCGACGTTCTGGTGAAAAAAGGGTCATTGGATCTGTACTTTATTAGGTACCCTGAAATCATTTCAGAGACAGAAATGTCTGCATTTTACCGGAATTTTCGAGAGTCTAGTGGCTGTATAAGTCAGGCCCGACGAGATTTCAGCTTCAAATGAGTAGTAGGAGAACACTGTATGATTGGGGATCAAGTTTATTAGCAATAGTTCATTGTAGTGGGCAAGAATGGTGTCCGCATCCATTTATGTAGTCCGTGACGAGAATACCGTAGGTCCCAAAGGTAATCGCGAAACCACAGTGCTTGACTTCGAAGTTGCTCCTGAAAGATAACTTTTTTTGCAAGGAAATTATATTGCCCACGAAAGTGGTTTCAGTCAGGTCTACAGACCAGCAGATAGCTCTATTTTAAAATCGAATAACCTCGACATTTGGCCATAAGCAGTACATGTCGACGGATTTTTTTGTTCAAAATGATCAGAAGGTAAGCATTTGAAAAGGTTATCACATCGGAGGCATACGGTACTAAGAAGTCCGCCGTACCATGCTTATCTGCTCGTTTGTATATTATGGCCTGTAAGAGTAAACTTATTAGAAAAGTTGTAAGCACATAAACACATTCGACATAAAGTATGACAGAAGGGTAGGGTACAATTACGTCGTAAGAGCTTATTGCGTCTTCGTTTCATCCTTGTTTCAAAGATGGGCTCGAACAAATAAATAAACAGGAAGCTGGAGAAGTTCAAAATGAAAGGACGAATACTGTCGTCCGATGAATTCCCTAGTTCCCCCTTTCTCTTCGGAATATTGCAAGGAAAGTTCTCTTTCTCTTACATTTCGCCTATAAAAAGAAGAAATACGCCAGAAGAATGGAGGGCTTGCTTGGAGTGACCGAATACTAATGCAAAACTCGATTCGTTAGCTATTTATGTGGGCTAGTGCGCTACTTGCCACTACACCATCTCCGCTATGTATGAAGGATTACTGCTAAAAAAGAAAAATGCCAAATCATATCGCTCACATAGAGAATATAGAAAGTTAGTTGAATAAGGAAATCGAGGAAAGCCAAAATGAACATGTTCCTTTCGGCTCTGTCGTGATAGCGTTTTGAACGAAGAAAGAGTAGAATAACAGAGACACAATTCGCCAACGATGTGACCACTAGCAATACGGTCAAGAATATGAACAAATCACCCAAAATAGCACCTACATTCTGAAAATAAAACTTTTTTATTGTAATTCATATTGTTATCTTACGTTGAACGAAGGCTACATCAAATTATTGTTCATTAATGAACTTGGAAGCTTTGAAAGTCTTGTAATCCAGAAGATTGTTCTTGGCTTATCATGAAAATTTCAGCAAAATTCAAAAGACGAAAAATAAATCGTTGAGCATAATGGCTGTAGCCTCTCCTACTATCGCCTGAGATGTCCGTTCAAAAAGTTCAAAAAAGGTGGGAATGGGGTTATCTCCCTCGTTATTTCTTTCCTAACATTTCATTCTTTTGTTCCCCAGAAAGTATGAAATCCTTTTCAGAATCCTCGGTACCTAGAGCTCGGATTTCAAGACCTTAAAAACAGCTTACAGCGGTACTGATCACGTCAAAGCAATCAGTGCTTTTAGAAATGACGAAGTGGCTGGAATGCGTAAGCAACGGATATACAGAGATGAATGGCGTCAACAATGTGATAGCAACACTTGCTGGAAAACCATAATTCCATATCTGAAGATAAGTTTGTTAGCAAATTATTATCCATTTTCAAGCAAGATAACTTACCGTAACATAGGTTGTTGGAAAAACTATGACGGTCATACGGTACAAGGAAACAAAGAAACTCATGTAATTCTGAACGAACGCGAAGTGCACTTTGAAACAGTGCAGCTGAAATACGGTTATAAACACATTATAAAACAAAATTTCTCGGTTTATTCTCGTATGGGACGAGGTGGAGTAGTGCTCGAATCTATCTAAGCTACCCGGGAGCCCATCCCTTCATGGTCGGTTGATCGGTACCAGATTCGTCTAAGAGGACATTGACTTGTACTTCAGCTGACCACTGCAATTTATTGTATAGGAAGCGCACACGATCATACCACTGCTACGATACTCTACGGAGGTTAACTATGGGGCGCATCAATCAGAGGAGATTGATTGATAGAAGGGAAAAGGAAGACCATTGCTCTAACAATAAAATGAAGCACGCGACACCCCGTTTTTTGTCCAAATCAGCATTTCCCTTGAAGTTCATTTTCAGACTATAAAGTGAAGGACTAAAGCTATGAAGAAAGCATATTCTTCTCTCTACTCTTTGAACGGGCGGCTGCAGGCTTCACCTGCGACCCCTCAACTTTCCCCTCTTCCAAAATTTCTTTGCAGAATTTGCAAGAACTACTCCAAACCGCCGAATCTATCATAAATTCTGACTTCAAACATCTATGAAAGAGCATTCCAAGTTGATGATCTCAAGAGCAAACTGTGCACTTACTATCGATGTTATACGCAACGGCGTTCTGTTGTAAATTCCACTCCATGGGCTATTCTCACTGGTAATATTCGCTATTTGAACCATATATAAAGAATTTATGAATACAAGGACATTCTGAAAAGTTGCATTCATGTGTGGACTTTGAAAAGATGCGAAAAGTATAACAGCTCCACAAGACAACTCATAACCTCTACTATGAGGAAGCTAAGACGTTAATTCGTGCTTATGCCACTCCTGGACCTTCCCATTACGCTGCATCAAGTTGGGAGTAAATAGAGATTGCACTTTTTCTATTACTATGTACCTTCCCATAAGAAAATTACTCTTTGAATTCCAGTGTTAGCCCCTTGAAACAACGTACAGTAGACCGTGAGTTCTTTCCTTACTGTATATTGACTAATCGGCTCACCAAAAGTGCCTGGACCATCAGCAACGAGTAGAACTGGCCAGCAGCTCCTTTTCGTTCTTTGAAAAGTGCAATAAGGACGTACACATACAAAACACATGATGGAATACAGTAGATGAATCTTACGTAGATACGGTATTCATACATAGCTGGTTTATCTGAAAAAAAAAACGCTGTTTATCTCCCATATTACGGTACTAACATCGTGGTTCTATCATTTGGTCAAAAGTGATTGAAAGGCGCTACGTGTAGGCACTGGCTGAGACTTTATGTGGGCCAAGTCGTTGTGTCCGTTATGAGCCAAACTTATTTCATGAACGATTGTCCTCGGCGTTCCAGGATGCGGAATAGTGGAATAGTCGTAAGATTGGTATCTCATGAATATTCTACAAAGATGGGAAGCCTGGTTAACTGGAGCTGATATTGATTTGATGTTAATTCCAGCGCTATGAATCAGATCTTTGCAGCAGTTCTATAAGGAGGTTTCCCCTTTCCGTTCATCCCGATGATAAAGACAGAAGTAAGTCCCATAAATATGTCCCAAAACAACCCGGAAAAAATATAAGAAAAAATGAAAAAAATTACCTGCGACAACTCAGGGCCAATGTGCCACCTTTGAAATAGTTCCACTTCCCGAAAAGCTAGGAGAACGATGGTTCCATTGCTGCTTCAAACTGTTGTCTTGAATTTTACCTGCGAGTAGGGTATATGGTGACTAATGCCGTCTTTTGATCTCTTTCCATTATTCTTTTGCAATCTGCTTGTTAGAAATGATTAAGGAAATTGCAGCAATTCAGAGATCATAAACATATCATCAGCGATTAGTCCTACGTAACTTCATCTCGGCCTTGTCATGCCCTCCCTAGCTTAGTGTTTGCAAAGTAATAGATTCAGAAAAATCATTTCAATTTTACTAGATTAATTTTCAGCACATTTAGGGTACGCATAATGGTAAGTTTGGTAAACTCGCTCAGCATTTGATTGAGTAGGTCTGCTGAAAAATCTACGATAGCCTTTTGTCCGGATTTCCTCGAAACTTTCACAGAGGTGCCAAAATAGGCCGCTACTGACTGGTATGCGCTCAATGTATCGAGAGATTTTACGATATCGTCGTCGATTGACTTGATCAAGGTTTATTTTTGACCTTTTTGTTTCAGGCTGCAGCATTGGACCAGAATATGAGTAGAATCACTCGTAAGGGGCTTCAAGATCGCACGCTCTGCATAATTTTCTATGGGCTTTAGCATCGGAGGGTTCGTATTCGAACCTGCCAAAAAGTACGCGCCAAATATGGGTAGAGAGCTCAGCAGTTATGTGATTATTTTGGTAAAGATGAGGTAACCGAATGTGTTATGGTTAGGTAGTGTCTTGTGTCTAGTAAGTATCAAGAAATGAGCTCATTTAACACATAGTCTTCGGTCTTACAAAATTTCCTAACTAATAAGTTATTAAGTTTATCTACGTCCGGAATATAAACAAACAGCCACAGAAGGATAGAACCAGAAGAACAGTAAGCAGAATGCAAAAATGCAAAAACAGAAGCTTACAAATCTCGGAGAGAAAAAGCTTTCCATGCTGTTGATTAAGGCATTTTGTCGCCACGTTTACATGAAAGGAGCGAAATTTTTTCCTAATTGCGAATCTTTGCTTATGTGGGCAACAGTTTAATGGCTAACTTCGTCAAAAACACAATCGAGATCGTTCCCATTATCAGCACCCTTGAGAATAATTATTGTGTTAGGTACTATCTACTTGTTTGTTTTACCAAAGTTTAAAGGTAAAACATTCATTGAGGCCATTAAAGTTCCTAGAGACAGTCTCTGAAACTAATGTAAAGCTCAGTGTTTGTCAGACATAGCAATTTGCCATTTGCTAACGGGACAACTAGCTAAAACAACCGACTATGGCATGGCATTTACGAGACAACTAGATAAAAATCACCTTTAC